CCCCGCCCCACCAGCTACACGTGTTTCCGAGATGCCTCAATCGGGAACGCGTTAGTCAATACTCATTTGTAGGTTACAAATCATGAGACGCGTTATCGATCATGTATAGATACCATGAGTATTAGCTCCTGTTTATCAAATTTTTCATTTTCGTACATGGTATACATTTTTTTTTATATAGTTTCAATTGTTTGCCCCGCGAGGGCGCGGTAGTCAGTTTCACGGATTGATGTTGATCTTTTTTTTTTTTTTGAAAATAAAAAATCAAATTTTTGACTCCACTGACGATGCGCCCTCTGTCAAATTTTATCTTTGCCATTTTTCATTACATGGAACCAACACACGATCGCGCTTCAAACACAGACGGGCTAATTTCACGTTGGATTATAGGTTAGAATGTCACGTTAGTATGACGTTATTTTAAAGTATCTTTCGACCTGTTGAAAAACAAAAAAAAAAGAAATTTTTGAATTGCCAACTCCCCCAAAACCTCCTGCCCCCTGCCCCTACATAGATATATTTATCTAACCTCGAAATCATTTTCATTTCTTTAATCCCTCATCTCGATCAAGTGAGACAAAAAAATAAGAACGTGTCACGATCGATAATCTAGAGTTTAACGTATGTACCACCTGATGGCGAAAGACACTTATCTTTAATATCATTACACTGTATGCGACGCTACTTAAGAGAGGGTAGGTCAACGATGTACATACGTGTAGTTTTCAGGTAAAATGAAAAAAATAAAGTCGAATGACTTATCGGTAACTAGTGAGCAAATTTAAAAGGAAATATTGAAAAATTACTCGCGCGCGAATTGCACGGGCATCGTATATTACTTTTCATTGTATATTCTTCTTCTTTAATTACTATGGACCAGAATATGTAAGATTCCGTTATCAAAGTTGAATTTTTTGACTTCGTGTAAATACACGTGTCATAGTCTGTTTTAGTTGTTTTTATAAACGCGCTGTAGGATAGGACATTAACTATAGATTTGAAGATTGCTCGGTTTTCATACGTAAGATATAATATAAAAAAAAGATTAGTCAACGATAGCATTAACACGTCGAGTTACGAGACGTTATTTTTTTCATATTTTTTTTTTGTATTTTGAAAAAAAAATCTATATCGACGTACATTTTGATCGCGTTCACATTTCTCGAATCGCGATCTCGTTATCGTCAGAACCCTCTCAGAAATGGTCCACGCAGTCCTCAGCCAATTGCGACGTGGGAGAAAGCGTTAAAAAAAAAAGAGTGAAAAAAATAACACGGAAGATCCGAGTGGATCCAAAACTGACGTTTATGCGTTAACCATTTTTTTGTTTTTGGTTTTTTCGTTTTGTTCCTTCTTTTTGTTTTTTAGCGTCGGTCCACGTGACTCGACCAGTAAAAGGACATTACGCAGCCATCCGAGGGAGGAAACCTCACTGCGGATTGGTTGTGGCATTTTTTGTTATAATTTATTTTCGTTTGTGTTTTGTTTTCTTTTTTATATTTTTTTTCTATTACGACACGACTATTGATCACTAATCGTCGAATTACACAACAGTACATTGATTTCATCAGTGTGACGAAAAATCGGTCTATACAGATCCTTAGGGTTTTCCCGTGAGATCCTATCCCGCTGACCTTTCCCCTCTCAAATCCACCTGACCTACCCCAACCTCACCTTACCTTGAGAAGTAACAAAAAAAAAAAAAAAAACATTTACCAAA